TGGTCTTAGCATTCATATATATGATGGCAAGAACTGGTTGTCTGGGAGCCAGTATAAACGGAGAAAGGGAGAGTGTAAGGAACTTACGTTCCTGAAATGAATGAAGGTTCTCCAAGGAAAGAAAGGGCAGGGAGAGAGCAATAAACTGTCGTCTTGGTAATTCTGAGTAGTGCTATTTCTGTGTTTCACAACTAAACATGAAGATAATCAATTGAATGTCATGAAATTTATGTCTCAAAGATATGTGGCTTCTTTGTGAATTCTCAGTAGAAAGGATCTATTGAATATTGAATGTTAATATGGGTTTTATATATTGCTTGGAACTAGTGCCTCTGTCTCCAAAATCAATCAATTAATAAACAACAACAATTTATTGAGTTCCAATTATATATGTAAATTTGTGCTTTAGTTTATTGGTTCTTAGTCCTTCCTGCACATTAGAATCAACTGGGCATCTGAATAAACTACTGTTGTGCTGCCCCAACTCCAGACTAATTAAATTAGAATTTCTAGAGATGAGATTCATGACTTTCACAATAGATCCTCATGTATTGCCAGTTTAGGGGTCCTTCTCTCCTGTGCATAGACCTTTGCCATTGATCTGTAATGTTTGCGCAAGAAAAATTCGTCTTAGAGACAGAGTTTCAGCTTCTAAATTAGAAAACCTGTTTTCTAAACCAGGCTCTGTTTAAGATGCTTGGTAAATTTTACTTACTGTCCATGTGATCAGAGAGCAATACTTAGTTTCTCTAGAAGGAACCAACATTTGTTAACTGCTATTTGTTAATAGGACCTTTACAAGTAATTTCATTTTCTATGCCATGATTTTATTTAATTATCAAAGTAAATGTATGAAGTCAATAATATTATCTTCATTTTACAAATGGGAGATTGAGGCTCATACATTTACTCTAAATCATAAATAATTGTTTATTGAGTGGCTATGTGCCAGATACAAGGAAAGATATTTTGCACATTATCCTGGAATGAGATACACGTTGTCATACTAGTGTTCCCTAGAATATGATCTTTAAAAACTGATCTGTCAGGATGCTTTGGGGAAAAAAGATTCTGTGATCAAATAGGTTTGGGAAAAGCTGAATACTTTTTTAACTTGTTGAAAATTCTCAATGCGTGACAACATATTAAACTCACTGAAATATAATGTAGTAAAGGAAATTGTAATGTGATGCTCCATGTGTTATTTAACCATGAAAATCTTATTCTAGGAACACTTGCCAATGGAACCAGCTTTGAAAAATACTCCTTCAAAACTTTATGTTCCAGAAATTTTGTCCCCATATTACATATTAAGAAACCAAGACTCTGAGAAATTTGGTAACTTGCCTATAGTCATTCAGCATGTGACTGTACTAGAAATTGAACCTAAGTTTAGATGATTTAGAAAATTCTCTTTTGATTCTAAAATCTATGACTCTAGGCCACTGAATCTGGTATCTGTTTCTGTGTTAGTAAGGCTATATATTAAAAGTGTTGAAAAGATCAAATGTAATGCTGTATGTGAAAACATTTTGAAAACTATAAAATAGTATATAAATATCAGAATTAGGTAGTATACAGACTAAAGTAGTATATAAATATTAATTTTAGAAGGGGATCATTTGTTTATCCAAATCTCTGAATTATACTTTCAAAGGATGATCTCTGTAGAAAGGCAAGTTTTGTTAGTTATTGTTAACCCTGACTGTCTATACTTCATCAGTCACCCTTGAACTTTTTTGGTAGCATTTTCATTATATTAAATAGTCTCTGGGAAAGTAAACTTCTATATTTGTGGTTTCTACATAGCAAATCAATGAAATATGAAACTAAGAATAATGTGATATTTATCCCAACATCTGATTCTATTGATTATGAAAATTTTAACTCTGACCTGGGACAAATAGTATGTTGCTTCTACTTTAATAATAGTAAAAAGTTGTTAGTGTGATTTATAGATATTTTCTTAAGAGTACATTTATTTAAATAAGGAAGCAAGGCTGAGAAACAATCAGGGAAGAGTCAGCTTTCCTGAACACACTTTATTGGAGAAATATAGAGTTGATTGAAGAGACTTGTGATTAAAAACTGGGGACCCATTTAAAGCTAAGAAGAGAGAAGGCAGAATTCTACGTGACCACACAGATGGCATATCTGTACTCCTGAGGAATGTGTTCTAGGGAATCACTTGATGTGTCAAAAGGTAATCTTCTTAAGGAGAACAGAGACCAGCTGATCCCATATTGAGAGAAGATAAAATGCATCCTCAATTCCCCTATTCACTGTGAAGGGGAAACAGGCCCAGAGAAACCAGCAGATATTCTCTGTCACAACAAATTAAGTATGCAGATGGCTTTCTACATCATCAAGTTGAGTTAGAGAGGGAATTATTTACAGCACTTTGAAAGCAGGTAGAAAATAAATCTACAGAGATCTGTAACTAATAAGTATGGAACTTCTTTATTTTTTTCCTTCTTGCTCTTCTCCCCAACATACTTACAATGAATTCATAATGGTGATGGGCCCAGAGAAATGAGTGTGAATGTGTCAGCATTCAGAAAAGATTGCTCTAAGACCAACCACTCTATCCTGGGTGAGTGGGAAGGAAATGCAATAACCACTCGTGGAAAGATGTTCATCAATACAGTGACAGTGGGTGAATGAGTACTACATAGAAAATGCTATGAATTAGTTAATAGGTTAGGACTTTGCTTGGATCTTCAAAGAAATATAGCTTGAAAAAAATCACAGTGTTTTAGAGACTCTAAATCTACAGAGGATTGTTAAATTTTCCAAGTAAATGTTACCTGGGAACTTGATGTTAATGAATTTCTGCCCAAGAATCATTCTAGACTGTGTTCTGTGTCCATGAGTGATGTTCAAGTTAGCTAATGCTCTCCTGTGACGCCAGAGATTGCAAGTGTAGTTTTCTTTCTCTGGATCATAGTTTTTGAATC